TTCTTTTCAAATAATTTAATTACAGATTTAAAAATTTATATCATTTCTCTTATATTTAGAACTATATCATATTATATCTCCAAACTCATCAAATGAGGCCCTTAAGTATTAAATATTGTAAATATATAATCTCTTCCAGCTAATTAGAACATAATTGTTGTTTTCGTCTATACTTAGGGTTTGTTGCTATCCAATTGTATATTTATAATTCGTATAATCTCATCACGATCACGAGAAAACTCATTTTATAACTCGTTATCAGCACAAGTATCTAAACCATGTGGTAGACCAATCCTCCAAACACAAGCCAATCATCGTTTTATGCGCTTTCTTTTTCAGAACCACGCAAAGCAGAGTTAAAGAAATTTATTTCTTTGCCATTGCATGGTTGTTATACAATGTCAAATTATTTTTATTCAAGATTAAAATATACTCTTGTTGGCCATGTATGTATCACTTGCCCATGATGGTTGTTATCTATGTCAAGTCACAATCGAATGTCGGGGCACTTGTATATGCTGAATGCACTATAATGTTAAGGGTATGCGCTTCTTGTTGGGACATTGCGTGCCCTCACCCCAACCCCGCATTAGTATGATATTGTTTGCTCTGGGCCAAGCCCTCACGGATTTGTTTTTGGACACCTCCCAAAAGGCCTCATACTATTGGGGTTGGGTGAACTTATATATTTTGGTTCATTTACTCATATACTTTCAGTGTGGACTTGGAGGAATCCCAATAAACCTCCCCTCAACCAAGGACCACACAATTTCTTACCTCCCCTCCAGCGGTAATCCATTTTTTCTTTTATCTGCTAACCATCTTGCACTGCCGCAGATCTTTCCCTCGCTGGGCTACACCATTTGATCCGTCAAATCATCTTGTACCGCCGTGGCTATAACTTCACGGGACACGCCGCCCGAACTTCTCTCGTCGGGAAGACTTTCGACACAAGGCACCACCCGCGGATCCTCTTTCTTGGTCTTGGTCCTATTGTTACACCGTCACACCGAAATTTTTTCCACACTGCACAGTCCGCTGCTCACGCCCGCAAGAACCTGGGCTCCGATACCACATGTTGGGACAGTGCGTGCCCTCACCCCAACCCCGCATTAGTATGATATTGTCCGCTCTAGGCCAAGCCCTCACGGATTTGTTTTTGGGCACCTCCCAAAAGGCCTCATACTAATGGGGTTGGGTGAACCTATATATTTTGGTTCATTTACTCATATACTTCCGGTGTGGGACTTGGAGGAATCCCAACACTTCTTGTAGCACCAACTGATTTTAAAAGAATTGGTAGCGTTTGAGGTCTTACAATTAGTTGTATCAGAGCCAAGATCACGAATTTGATTTCCAGCGTGAGCAATAATCGAGGGGGAAATTGTTCGCCATGCATTATTTGTCCCATGACGGAAGTTATGTGGCCAAGTCACAATCAAATATCGTGGACATTTGTATATTTTGAATGCATTGTATAAAGCTAAACTATGTGTTTCTTTTAACACTAATTGATTTTAGAAAATTTGCTAGCGCTTGAGGTCTTACAAGCTACAACACTCCGAGTTTTTGAAAATAATTCTTATTTTGACTTTTGACAAAATTATTTTTGTAATCTGACTTTCCAATTGTATCCTTAACGCCGAAGAAAAAAGAGAGACAAATCATCGTTTAAATAACTTATTATATCAATTCAAAATGGATAGAGTACAATACGGCTTTATTTGAAGATAGTAGTCATTTTATTTAAAAGTGATAGTGTTTTGTTAAGAAAAAGTAAAAAAATAAAAGATGAAATGTTTTAAAAAAAGAAGATGTGGAAATTTCATTTTAGCATATCTTTAACGTTTTAATCTTATTTAAGTAAATTTCATTTTATAATAGGTACACTACTTTTCTAATAGCTACTAGAATTATATTAGTGTAAATTTTTAATTTTTTACCATATTTATATTTACTTTCTCTCTTTCTATTCAGCTCAGAAAACTTTCTTGGAGTATAATGAAAAATACCGAATTCTATTACGGGGTAATTAAACATTCTTAAACATTCAAAAGATATAGTCAAACTAATTAATTTTTTTTCTTCTGAAAAGTAGTCAAACTAATTACTGAAATTTGTATTTTTCAAATTTCTTGTTTAGAAAAGCCAATTAAACATTCTTATAGTATTAAACATTTAAAAGACATGGTCAAAATAAATATGAAAATTTGTAACTTTGTACCAATTAATTTCTTATCTAAGAGTCAACTTAGACAGATGAGAAGACTATTACGCCACATGTTTCGTGAGAATAAAAAAAATTTATTGGGTAATTGTTTAACCGCGTGCATGATGCACAACCCTTAGGTAATGTTTATAAATTAATTTCGGAACGAATCGGAGTGAATATCCAAATATTTGAATGTGTATTTGTTTAATTTTTTGAAATCCGAATCCGAATATGAAACGATTAAAAAATAAGAGTTGTATTTGTAGTTGATTAATATTCGAATAGTTAACAAATTCTAAACGAATATTTGAGTTGTGATACTCTGTAATTTATATGATGAACCAACATCAATTTTGAATCACTGAACTTATAATATTTCTAATACTATATCTAAAAACATTAATATATTTGTGTCTTACACAAATTATATTTTATAAAATGTACGGAGTAACTACTAAAAATCATATGTTTAGTATTTTTGTGTTACGTTAATTTGACGAAATTTAAGTAATTCAAATGCACTTAATTTATTTGCTTGACTAATGATTTGGAAAACATGGTATGTGTACACACACAAATATATATATATATATATATATATATATATATATATATATATATACATACATACATATATATATATATATATATACATATATATATATATATATATATATAGGTTCAAATGAGAATGCGATCTTATGAAAGAAATAAGAATGAATCTAGTGCTTTAGATTGTGAGATCTAAGGGTGAGGATTGCATCAAAATTAGGTGCACCAAAATGATTTGAAAATGCATCATGTCGAAATGCAAAAAAATCCTTTAAAAATGCACTATCTCAAAATCTGAGTGCAGGATGCAATCTGAGCCGCACGATGCATCAGATCCAAAGGCTAGATTTCATTCTTATTTCTTTCACCAAGGTGCATTCTCACCTGAACCGCCCCCTATATATATATATATATATATATATATATATATATATATATATATATATATATATATATATATATATATATATATATATATATATATATATATGATTTGTTTACATTCCTACTTATGTCTAATTAATTAGTTAAGGTCTTTTTTTGTTGTTCTGAAAATTGTTTTTTTGTATAAGACTATTTTTTGCATATTTTAATTTTTCAGTTTTTTCCATATTTTTATTTTTTTTATGCAAGATTTTCTTTTTGAATTTCCAAAAAATTATTCTAAAAAACAAAAAGTAAAAATGTTTAATTTGAGATAGATGTAGTGCATGTTCAAACGGAAAGAATTTTAAACTTTTTAAAACATTATAAAAATATAGAAATAAAAGATTAAAAATTCTAGAAAAGGTAATAAAGAGATAACTAAAATATTAAAAAGGGAAAAACCCAAATAATAAATGAAAAATAAGAAACGAGCACGAGCGTTCCCTATGGTTTAGAAATTAGGTATCAATGCCTTCTCTTTAACGAAAAATGGCCGGAAAATGATCAAAAGGGGTGTAGGTGCAGCGTTTTGAAACGACGGAAACTTTAGAAATAAGTTTTGAAAATAGAGAGGAGATTGATACTAATTTTTTAAACTACATGGAACACTAGAGCTATTTGATCATTAAAAACTAATTTGGACCTGATAAACAGCTAAGGAGTATGATTTATATTTGGACAAAATGAGTTTAACATGTTAATCATTACTATATGTTCGTTGTTATAAGTAACAACTTAATTTGGGGAGGGAAGAAAGTGACTTCTCCAAACCCACCATCCATCACGCTGCTCATCTTTTGACTTTCAATTATCTCATCTCACTCACTATGTTATTTTCGTCACTGATTATGCATTTGTTCAGTTTTCATTTTTTATAATTAAAATCAAAATTTTTTGATCATTATTTAAATAATTTGTTATTAGATATTGATACAAGAATAAATTTATTTCTTCTATCCAATAACCTTAACCTTCGATTTTTCATCCGTCCCACTAAATGTTTTCACTTTCAATTAAAATCTCTCATTTACCTCTAGTAATTATTAACCTACCTATCAAAACTTTTCTGATCCCCTAGCTTGAGTGGTCGGAAGCCCACATCTCAGGATTCATGGGGAAGTTTGAGACCCAGTAGAGGCAGAGGCATTGACTCTTTATGCGTTGTAAGGTTGAGAATAATATGAACAACTACTAACTTGTAGCACTCAAAGTAAGGAAAAAATTGGAAGGGAGAACTCACTAGATAAGAATAAAAAATTATAAAAATACCAAAATAGGAGTCATAATTTCTTTAAGAGCAAAATAAGCGCTCACACTGTCATTGTTACACTGTCACACTCACCACGTTGTCACATTGTAACTGCTACACTATCACTACCACATTGCCATCCGTCGCCAACGACCACTATAATGCACTGCTGATCGCCGACGATTGACTCATCACATGTTACACTGTTTTCATTTTTTCATCACGCTGTCAATGCGTATTCTTACATGATGACACTGTCATTATACTCTTATTTTGGTCTTAAAAGTCATAAGACTCCTATTTTAGTATTTTCAATCTTTTCTACTTATATATAGGGAGATTTCTTAAATTGGAATGTAACACCAAAAGTACACATTCCATAAACCTCACTTATTTGCAAAATGAAAATGTTTAATAGGACATACATAGTAGGTAATACGGAGTATTAGATTTATCTTGTAAAAAAAAAAATTCAAATTTTTTTTATCTAATTAGTACTCCGTATATCATACGGAGTATATTTTTTAGTTAATTATAAATCAAAATTTAATCCTAGTTGAATGCAAAATGTGAAAATTAGATCAATACTCTGATACGGGATGAGAGAATAATTTTATTTCATCCCATAATAAATTCATCTACTATACGTAAACACCTCACCTTCCCTCCCTTTTAATACCTCACTACATTCCAACTTTCAAAGACTTCCCAACAACTTCATTTCCTACATATTTATATTTATATATACCCACACACAAAAAATTATTTATTTCCTATTTTTTCCCCACAATAATTCTCAAACTAGACATTTTTTTCTCTTTCTTTCATAAATAATGGACGAAGGAGGATTATTGGGGTTAACCCTTAAGAGATCATCAGAAAGCGTAGAGCTTTCCGAGGAAAACCTTATCGATGGCGGTGGCGGTGGTGGCAGTATGTTCCGGCCGGTGGCGGAGGATCATGCAGCGGTGGCGGCCGCCTCAACGTCGGCTGTGTCTGACCATAAACGGCCTGCAGCTCCGTTAAGTGAAGTTGACTTTTTCTCCGACAAGAAGCGGCTCGTCAAGAGAGAGATCGTGAGCTCCGACGGCGGTTTTAACGACGTTAACGTGCGTTCCCCTCTTCTAGAATTTTTTATTTTTACAAATCAATTTATTTGGATCTCAAATTTTACAAATTTTGACTATTAAGTTCAAACTGTGAAAAAAAGTATATTAATTTTAGATAATTAAACTTATTTTAAGATATACGGAGTAACTTTGATACTCCCTCCGTTTCTTAAAACCCTTCCTCTTTCAATTTTTTTGTTTTTCTTAAAACACTTTCCTTTTCTATTAAAAAACCACTTTTACCCCTACTTTTTCATACCCTACCTATTACATCATACTTTTTCACTAACAACTAAACCATCACATCTTACTTTTACCCATCACATCAAGGGCAAAATTGGAAAGTCAACTACAATTTAACACTTCCTTATTCTTCCCCAAAGTCAAAAGGGGAATTGTTTTGAGAAACGGAAGTAGTATTTCAAACTTTATACTCAGTAATATTTAGTCTAGTAGTTTGACCAAAAAAATTGTTGTAAAAAATTTTAAAGAATGAAAGATATCTTATAAATTAAATTTATTTCTTTTTACAACTACAAGTAAGATTATAGTATGTTTTAACTATTAGATTGATGTAAGTATATCCAATTTATATGCAATAAGATATTATATGATAGAATTGAGATTAGTCATATAACATAAGTGACTTGATCATAGATTCATACTATTATGATTAGTGAAATTTATACTAAATAGTATTAAAACACATGTCATTTTTTAATGTAGTGCTTAAACTTTTTTATTCTCTAAATAATACTTGAATAATGTCTAGTGACGTGAACAATATCGAGTAATGATAAATATTTAGTTTAAACAATGTTCAGTGGCAGTCGACATTAATTTAAACAATGACCGGCGGACAATGACTAGTGGTACACCATTAGGATATAAGATTATGGCACAACATTGGGAAAGTGATTATGTTTTAGTAATATTTATATAAATTCCCCTTATGCCTATATGTGAATTTAATTTAGTGATAATATATAAAATAGACGGGTTTGGAGCTTGTGATTAATGCAACTAATACCCGAAGCGATCAATCAACGGTTGACGATGACAGTCTTCCATCCGACATGGAAGAATTGCGTTCAACGAATGAGGCACAGGTGCGTACTTTTGCCGATATAAAATAATACTCCATCCGTCCCAAAAAGTCCGACACATTTTGAAAAAACTGTGTCCCGTAAAGTCCGTTACATTTCTATTAAAAAACCACTTTTACCCCTTACTTTTTCATACCTTACCTATCACATCATACCTTTTTCCTAATAATCTACACATCACATCCTACTTTTACCCATCACATCAAGGATATTTTTGGAAAGTCAACACCAAAATATTCCTCCCTTAATTTCCCAAAAAGTCAATATGTACCAATCTTTTTGGGATGGAGGGAGTACTTAGCAATTCTCTTTATATATATATACTCCCTATGGTTTTCAATAATTATATTGTTTATTATATATGACTATTTACATACATTAAGAATTTGATGAATTTGAACATATATTGTACATTTGTACATATGTAGAACATCACATCACAATGAACGTTTATTTAAGAACAGATCAGATGTGAAAAGTAAGATTTTAATTTGAACTATTTTTAATATTTTAATGCATATTCATATGTATTCTTCGTCTCCAAATCAATTTGACAATGTGATTTCACCATTTTTTTAAGAGAAGTGTCAAAGCAAGCACTCAAAATGTGTTGAACAAATAAAATGTCCATTTTTTGAAAAGTTATGTGATGAAATTTAAAGTTAACTTATAGATCGATCGACATTCGATAAAAATGTATGTTGGTTTAAAATATACTCTTTCCGTCTCAAATTGTTTGCAACATTTCGAAGAACGCGCAAAATATTACGGAGGATCTCTTTTACAAATTAAAAGAGAAAAAAAAGTAAAAATTAACTATTAAAAAGTATATCAAAGGTTTTGCAAAACAAGAAGCGATATGAATATTTTATTTTATCAAATGATCAACTAAAATGAGAAAACAAACAAAAGTTATGGAGAGGCCAAAATAGTAGCTGTTACATTCATTTTAGGACGGAGGCAGTATATAAACATTTAAGCAAAAAGTTGTTATACAAAGGGTCTATTTGGGAATAACGTTAGAGATTAGCGTTAGCGTTTTAGATATATAAAATTTTAACAGTGCAGATTTCTTTGAAAACGCTAACACTAAACGCAGCCCGTAGATAGCCTTTTCAAAACGCTAACGCTATTCCAAAACAGGCCCATACACCACACACATACTTTTGCTTATGTTTTAAACAATTAATCACTTATATGACAATAATATATAGCAAATAAAAAAAGAAAAATATAACTTATTATTGATCAAAATACTCCTTGGTTATTCATATGTATTGGATCAGATGAGAGCATTGAAATTAGAGCTGGAAAGGTTGAATGAGGAGAACCAGAGATTGAAAGGAATGCTTTCACAAGCCAACAACTATTATGGAGCCCTTCAAATGCATCTTCTCTCCCTCTTACACAACCAAAAACAACAAAAACAACAACAAAATTTTGGAGAAGCCCAGGTAATTATTATTATTATTATTATTATTTCCAAACAACAATTTATGGATTTTATTAATATTGACTTTCAAATTACATGTCCCATTTAATTAGTGTTGTTGATTTGATTAGATTCATCACATTTGACTTTTTCGTAGTTTCGCCTTTTTGGCTGTAATTGCATCCAAATTGCATGAATAATAATAATGATAATATTATTTATTTATTTAAGATAGTCTTTGTTTTAGGTAGTTAATTAGTTTCTACTCCGAATCATTTAACATTTTTTATTATATGCTTGGTAACTTTTAGGTCTGATATTTAATTTGTATACATACTCTCTCATATTCTTTTTAGTGATGAGTATTATTTGAGTAATTAAAACAATTATTCAATCATATGTTGTGTTTTTTATATTGAATTCAGGTTCGGGGTAGAAAGTTAGAGGAAACAAGACAATTCTTGGAGTTGGGAAAGTGTGGAACAGATGAGGACGACGAAGATCAAACAACATATCGTATTTCTGGATCACTGGATGATCACGATAATAATAACACGAGTAATAATAACAACAACAACAACAATAATGATAATACTAGTAATAACAACAACAACAACAATTTGAATCCTTCGGACCCGCTGTCCGAAGCTTCCGATGCAACACCTATGATGAGGAAAGCTCGCGTCTCCGTCCGGCCCGATCGGAAGCCTCCATGGTATATATATGCAACTCATTTTCATTTCATTTCATTTTGTATGTAGATAATTTTTGTGGAATTATATACTCCCTCCGTCCTAAAATTTTCTTCTCAAAGCACTATTCTAACTTCACGGGAATTTATATTTATTTGTGTTTTTTCATGGCCTATATGATAAAATAAAATATTCTTGTCACCACTTGTTTTGTTAAACTTTTGATGTAGTTTTTAAATATGTACGGAGTATGTTTTATTTTTTATTTCTATACCAATATTTAAATAATATAGATTGAAAAAACTTGAGATTTTTCTTCGTTTTGCGCAACGGGAAGAAAGTTTTAGGACGGAGGGAGTAGTATTAGAACTTAGACATGCATGTTTAACGGAGTAGAAGAAATGTGTTACGTTGTAGCCACCACAAAGGGCGGTGTTAGGCGGGCGGCGGTACGGTGGCCTTTAGAGTTTAGGTCACATTGGCAAGTCCAAAAATCACTATCATCATTTGCATAAGATTAGTGACTAATATAATATACATGTTTTTAGATATTCCTAATTAGGAAAAAAACCCAAAGGCATTAATTAAGGTTTTGTTGAAATGACCAACATATATTTACATATGACTAGCTAGTTGGCTGGTAGCTAGCATATATATTTTCGTCTCGTTTTACTGCACGTTTGACTCTTGTCAACAGCAATAAATTAAAATATGAAATTTTTTCAATTAATTTATTTAAATATTGGTATAGAAATAAAAAATAAAATTTACATATTTAAAAACTACATGAAAAGTACTTCAAAATAAGAAGTGTCTAAGATATTTTATTTTACGGAGTATCAAATAACCAATGAAAACGTACAAATAAACAAAAGTTTTCGCAACTGTTGAAAAAACAAATGTGGCATTCTTTTGGGGACGGAGGGAGTATATATTTGGTGTACTTGTGAATATATGTGGTTGGTGCAGATTGGTGATGGATGTCAATGGAGGAAATATGGACAGAAAATGGCTAAGGGAAACCCTTCTCCCCGTGCTTACTATAGATGCACCATGGCCTGCGGTTGTCCCGTTCGCAAACAAGTACGTTTCGCTACACACATTATTTCTCGTATACATTCGGGTATTTCGTTCTAGCACAACATAAAATATATATGAATCATGCTACAGTCACAACCACTTTGACTCTTGACATAAACCACCTGTTCTATAGACGTGCACAAAAAATCATTATCTAGGAACATCTTGTAAAGACACTTATTGATCTAGTTTGGTCTAATTCATAAGCAAATCCGAAAGAGCATAAATTGGTCAAAATAACCAAAATTGACATACGGGATGATCCAGATTAACTCGACAGATTGGGATTTTTTACTAATAATAAAATCAATGTTTTTTTTCCTTTGACATGTTATCTACTCTATTTTTATTTTTGTTACTTCTCATTAACATTATTGATTAGCCCTAACTTGTGTGATTAGACAATTTAATCAAACACAATGCTTATTTTGAATTGTGTAGGTACAGAGGTGTGCAGATGACAATGCCATCTTGGTCACAACCTATGAGGGGACCCACAACCACCCGCTGCCCCCGGCGGCGGCAGCGATGGCGTCCACCACCTCGGCCGCCGCGAGCATGCTGCTCTCGGGTGCCGTCACGAGCGCTGACGTGTTAATGATGATGAACAGCCCTAATTTTTTAGGGAGGGCAATTCTGCCCTGCCCTACGGGAGGGAGTGCCGGTTTGGCAACAATTTCAGCGTCGGCCCCTTTCCCCACCATCACATTGGACCTCGCTCACAATAGTAATAATAATTACCCGAGACCCCCTACCCCACAACTCCCTTTCTCAAACGCCCCTCAGAGTCTGCATAATTATGCTTCGGCCCCTCACAATTACTATATTTACAACCACTCCAAGTTTTCAGGGCTACAAACGTCGAATTATAATGGTAATTATAGTAATACTAGTACGCCTCCACACTTGCGTCACCTCAATCCGTTTGCTCATCATCATGACGTCAGCAGCCCCGCCGCCGTGGATCCCAACTTCGCCGCCGCCCTAGCCGCGGCCATATCTACCTTCGTTAGCAGTCCGCAGACAAACTGCGGCGGCAATGTCGTCAGTGCCGCCGCGGCTAACACCTCCGAAAGCAACCCTCCAGGGAACGGCCGGCCACAAGTCTAGCAGTTTAAATTTTCTGAGTTGTATTATTGGAGAAACTTTCATCATAAATTGCATAAAAAAGTGTATTCCATATTAATACAATAAAATAATTTTTTTTTAAAGTTTTCTACAAAATAAGTCTAATGAAATCACTTTCATATTAATGTACAATGTTACTCCGTATTTTAATTAAGTTGTGGCTAATAAAGTTTGTTTAAATTGATTCAAAAAAATTAAACTATGGTAGACTTAAGGTCACCATGAACCTACATATGAGCAAAATAAACATTTTCTTATTACTTAAATAAGCATCTATTTTTTAAATAAAAAAAATAAAAAAAATTATGTGAAAGGAGAAAAGACAAAAGTAGGACTAAAACATTGAAAATATTCCAAAATAGGGCTTAAAATAAATTTACATTATCAAACATGGTATTGTACATTACCAAAAGGTATAGTAAGGTATACATGTACAGTGTCATATTACCAAAATGCAAAGTCCTATTTTGAAAAAAAGCATGAAAGTTCTATTTTGGTATTTTTCTTTATATTTTAGTCATGTTTAGAGTGATTTCTATATGTGAAAAATCCAAAAAAATGATATGCACCAAAGAAGCACTCAATTTCACAAGTAATCTCATCGCTGCAAAAAGTTTCCACGCGTTTTTTCTAGAATTGTGCTTAAATAAGTACATATAATCTCACTAAGGTTATCTGCATCACTCCACATCGCTCATTCCAAATCAGCAGTCACTCAACACCTCATCAATGTTGATTTTACTCACTATCTCACCCAGTGCGCACCCATAGTGCCTCACTTTAACTGCAATAATTGCATTTTTATTTTTTATTTAATATTTACTTATTTCAATTCAAATTAAATTATACGTAGTACATTTTATAAAAGAATAGAAATAATCATTTTTTATGTTTTTAAGTTTATTATTATCCATTTTCTTTCGGTTTTATTATTTCTTTCATCCAGGATCATTATTATCTTTTATTTTTTTCTATTTTTATATTATAACAATGAAATTAAAAAAACATAAACATAAAGAAATAAGTTCATTCAATTTTTATATATATAATATTGGTGTCATTAAATAAATCTTGTGAAAAGATTTTAACGGTACATTATTTGACAAATAATAACTTATGTACACGTGATTTTATTTTGACCCATACAATTCATATTCTGAATTTCAAATTCTTTTGTTGTGTTATGAAATTAAATTGTGGAATTGGAAAACTTGGAATTAGAATTCAATTCCAAATCAAAATATTTTTGTGTTACCAAACAGCAGAATTCGAATGAAATCTCTAATTTCATTTCTATGGCTTGAATTCCGTATGTCAAATGCAGCCTAAGGGCTTGTTCTCTTCAACTTATTTGATTAACTCTAATTTGATTAGATTAAATTCTGTTCTAATTTGTTTGTGGTTATATTTAAACATATTTCTATTTTGATCTAATCTGATCTCCACCAGAATAAATAATAAGTTAAAAAACAGACTTTAATACAGAGTAATGTGTTATAGAGTAGAGGGAGTGTTAATAATAAAAATAGGCTCGAGTAATACAAATTATATGATTCCCTCTAACATATCAAAAAAAGTATTTTTCTGTGTTTATAAACTGATGAATATTGTTTTAAGTTATTTTAAATTTATAAGTCAAGTGATGATATATTTCTTTGTACTTATAAGTTGCTTATAAGCAAGAAAATATAAGTAAATCTTACCTACTTATTTTTAAACCAATTTTCCTTTTGTTTTTTTATTTTAGTCAGATTATTTACAAAATTATCTTTTACTTGGTATCATTTATGAATATTTCTAAATCATTTACCTACAAGCATTATTTAAGTCATTTTTACTCCCATAAAAGAATATTTAACTTATAGACAGCTTATAAATTAAACATTACTTGTCAACGATAAGTCAATAAACACCAGCACAGAGAAACATTCATAAGATAATAATTCACCATTTCGACAATAATTTTAGCACTCTTGCCAAATAGAGACTTGTAATTCACCCAAAAAAATTAAGGAGGAATGCCAACAGCTATCCCTGAGACGCCCAAAAGCAGTCGTACAATTAGCTGGGATTTGTCATTTACGAGAGTATCGAAGAGAAGAATGGGATTCGAATGAAATAAACGCATAATCATTTGACAAAGTAAAATGGTAGAGGTACACATATATGATCCACCAACAAATGCATTCTTTGTAAATTTATTCGTCCTCGCGACCCTATCGATAAATGGCTTTGTGGAAATCGTTCTAAAAGTGCGTAACATTGAACTACACATACATTATTCATGGCTGAGAGTCTGGTTTTAACCCTTCTTTAATGCCACTGTCCTCGCACGGAGATTCAGAAAGATTCCCCTAGAATCATGGAAAAAGACAAACAGCAGTAATCAAATAAATACCCAAGGGTCCGTTTGGAAATGACGTTTGTAATAGTAGATTTTAGCTAAACGCTAACGCAGATGCCAAACATGCACCAAATAAATAAATGGATAAAATGGTAATAAAAAAAAGTTGCAGAGCATACCAACAGCAGGCTATAACACTATGAAAGATGACTCTGAACTGGAGGGGTACATAGAGGTGATTCACCCATCCCACAACTGGCCAGAACTGCATTAATTGATTAATTAATTATTTAATTAATAATAAAAATTGATTTTTGGTACATGAAAACAAGTTGAGATCCTAAAGAAAAAGGTAAATTATATCGTGCTATGTAGGTCCAACAAGCAATATGTAACTCGTAAACGTGCATACAATAATTTTATAATGTGCACACTCTAAATATGTAAAAAAAAAGTTTGCTTTATTGCAATTTCGTTTTCAAGATTTCATTTTTACTCTTTAATGGATGGGAATCGTTATTAAAAAAAATAAAAAATTTCTTTTAGCAGAACAGATCAGTTTAATATTGTGCATGATGTATATAAGTATGTACAAATATACCGTCCAAGCTGTATACTGGATTTTCGGGTACTCTCGTGCCACATTTGACTTCACTTGGACCCACGGTCTTCCTGTAAATATTACACAATAAAAAATGAAATAACTTTTGTCAAAACCTCAACTTCTCTACTAGCCAATAAACTTGAGGCATCATTTCAAGAATTAGGCTCCGTTTGGTCTCCTCATGGATTTGTTCGGGCTAGAACAGATGTTACATTGTCACCAAATAGTAACTCTTACCAAACCAAACAGGGCCCAAATCCTTCGAATTCTTTTGCCCAAGATGATTTCATCTAGAAAGTATGAATCAGAACATCTGACAAAAGATTTATGCAATGGGAAAGGATTACAAATTGAACTAACTAACCTTCGATAATTAGTCCATAATATAGCATGAAAAGCAAGTTGTTCCAAGGTGAAGATGTCACTTGTTCAAGCACCACCTGCAGAAACAAGCCAACATCGGGAAGTCATCATGATATAAAAAAACTCCACACTATAGTAAGAAAAAATTCATGTCCATTGCTCAAAGAAATTTGAGATTTGTTGGGAAAGCAAACTTGTCCCACACCGTGCAAAGAAGAGAATGATGACCTACATATATATGGTTACTCCCAACCCCATTAGAATGATGCATTTTGGGAGGTGACAAAAAAAAACAAATCCGTGAGGGCTTCGCCCAAAGCAGACAATATCATACTGATGCGGGGTTGGGGTGAGGGCACGCGCGGTCCCAACAAGATTTTACAATAGCATTCTAAGAGAATTTTTATTTTATATGGATCCCCCAAGTTTTGAGGCGTTTCCGTGATAAATATGCAATCTTGGTGTGTTATTATAGAAGAAAAAGTTCAGTGAGCGCTGGTGATAATTATATAATCTTAGAGTATTCTTGTAAAATCTCAAATTTCTCAAAGAAGAGGAAGATAAAGTGTGAAAATGACTTGTTTGGTTTAGAAAGAAATAAAAGGTGGCATTGGTTACCTTCTTGGCAACTGTCTTTGGATCTTTTTTGCCCTTGAAAATTTTGTCAAGCACTAGATGAAGAAAGTGACCAAATGGTCCAAGATATGCAAAGCCAAAAAGCTGAAAATAGCCAAGTTAGAAAGATTATATACACCATAACTTCAATATAGGTTTTAAACAAAATCCAAGATGCTTTATTAGAACAGGGTCAGTATGTTATCTCGTTTATGAACTGAAAGTTCTTTCTCAAAAGCTTTCGGGCCTTTGTAACATTCGGGAAAAGTAGAAGAGAAAGTGCGCAAAGATGAACTTGCAAAGCATTTAAAAAATACTACTAAGAAAAAGGGATCTAAAATTACCACTTTAAGAAGGAGCCGTTTGATTTGAAGTTTTTGAATGCCGGTGATCTTCTGAGCCACTATATCACTTATTGCTGACAGCACTCCCGCAGTTATTGCCTGCAAAAAAAGAGTAATTCCCCATTTCAAAAGATCATTACTAATGCTCTAGAACCAACATACCTGAGTATTTGTGTTTACACTATGTTTGGTTCAAGGAATTTAGAAAGAAAAGAAAATGGTTTTCTCCCATTTTCATCGCCAAAATGGGAGGAACTTGGTTTTCCCTCCTCCCCTGTCTTCTCATTTTACTTTTTCTTCCATTCTTGTTTTCTTTTCCACTCTAACCAAACAAGAAAAATTGTTTTCCATCCCATTTTCTTTTCTTTTCACTTTCAAATTCCTTTAACCAAACATAGTGTTAGTCTTTGTGATGGGAAAGTTTGACCCTTGGAAAATAATCCCTTCATCTCGCAAAAAACCTACACAATTTCCCTTTTTGTCTGTCCCCAGAAAAAAAAAATTACCACTTTCTCTTTAAAGAAATGAATGAGTGACTCACAACTCGTTTTTCTCCTCTAATGGATCCTTAATTAAGCCAAAACAACCCCATGCTAAAGACTAAAATTAAGGGTATCTTTGGGAGGATTTGCTACAATTTTTCAAAATAAAAAACTAAATTCAATAATGTAGTCATTTTGTAAATAATTTTCTAGTACTAAAGAAAGAACTCCCCTAACTTGATCTAATTACAAGAAATTTCATCCTCTTAAACACATCTAACAAACACACCAAAAAAGAAATCAAGAAAGTACTCATCAGTAATTAGAAGGAGAAACCTTTTCTGCAGTAAATTAAATTTCGAAATTGAAAATAAAGCTGATCATATGAAAAATTAAGCATGAAATTAAAAAGAAAGATCTGAGAAAAATGAAAATTTTCGCAAAAAGATCGAACCTTTGTTCGAAGAGGATGTTTTTGAAGCTGTAGCAAGTACTGTTGCAAACCCTTCTTTGCCATTGACCCCATTTTTTTATCAGTATATTCAACTGAAAAAAAAATCTCTCTCTCTCCCCCTCTTCGTTTGCCACAGAGAATGAAGAGAGGTTCGAAACAATTTATATGAGCAGTTCTTTTTTTGTTTTGTTTTTTTATTTCGGTTTCTATTTTAATCTTTTATATTTCATTTTTTATTATTAAGAATTTTTAAATGAAAACCAAATTTAGGAAATTAGGAAAAATGAATTTTTTTGGATACAAAAAGTTTTTTACTCCTTATTTTATAGATTAAAATTAATTTAGATTTTTTCCCTAAGTTTACATCAAAATTTAATTGGATGTTATTCTGTATTATGATTGAAATATTAGTTTTTATTATTTTAGTGATAAAATTTATTTAGTTTAACTAAAAAAAACTGAAGTAGAAAAATAATATTGACTGTAGGTAGTATTTTTAATATCGAAATGAAAAGTTTGGAAAGTAAAAAATATTATATCTATTCGTTTTTATTTAGTTTCAAACATAACATGAATAATAGTTAATACCCCCCATCCATGTATAATTACTTGGTTAGAAATGACAATTCAAATATGAAAATAAGTGGTTCTTTTCATAAGACAATTCCTATTTTGTCTTTAGAAAAAAATAAGAAGTACTCCCTCCGTCCCACTATATTTGTCCACTTTCATTTTTGCACACTATCCAATGCACTTCTTTAATCCATTTTATCTTGTAATTTGTATATTAAAAAATTATAAAAATTATATATTAATAATCTATATGTTAAGACAAATCAAACAAGATCACACATGACTATATTTAGGCTTACAAATTGAGAGAATTTGATAAGTCAAAGTGCTTAGATGAACAGTTCCAAAAGTCAAAAGTGGACGAATATAACGGGACGGAGGTAGTATATATATTTATCGTTAACTTTTCAATTTTGCCCTTGAGAGGATAAGTAAAAGTAAAATGTGATAGGTAAAGCAAGAAAAAGTACGGGTAAAAATAGTTTTTTAATAAAAAAAATAGTATTTGGGGAAAAACACAAAAAAAAGAAAAATCTTGTAAGAGACGAAAGGAGTACATAATTGAAACATTATAACCAAAACATAAATATTTAAAATACAATTGTAGTAATTAAACATTAAAACAAATTATTCTTATATTTTCTTAATCTATTATAGTATTATACCCCAAGTGTTTATCCTCATTTTAAGTTATGCTCAATCCCTTGGAAATGATCAAAGACCTGTTTGGGAATAGCATTAGAGATTAGCGTTAGCGTTTTGAATAAAATTTTAACGGTACGGATTACTTTAAAAACGCAAACGCTAAACACTATCCGTAGATAACCTGTTCAAAACGCTAACGCTATTCCCAAACAAGGCATAAGTCGGCCCTAACTAGAGTAGAGATACAAAAACTAAAAACTTGTTCTCTTCAACTACTTACCTTATTCATTCTAATCTGATTTGATTAAATTTTGATTTCGATAAGAATAAGAAAAAAAATAAACTGAAGAGAATATAAACTCTATTTCAACACTAGTAGAATCAAAACCAATTCCAAAAGAAAGTAAACCAAGTCTGTCTTCCAGATAAAATCTTTTGAATAAAATGTTGTTGCAGTCACAATAATTTCTTCTAATTGAACTTATCAAATGAACACTTAAAAGAGAGAAATAACATTTCAGTGAAAGTTCGAGTTAAATCAGCAAATCAAAAGAATTCAAACTTCTAATCTACTTCGATCAAAGTAGTACAGTGTACTCCTACTACTACATTTCAAATGTGCCCTACAAAACCGCAGTAAAAACTGGAATTCTTTGGACAGATTCAGAAAATGCCCTGCAAATTGCTTGACTACAGAGGTACTGATGTCCAGCAAGTTTTTGACTTTGGGGTACAAATGGAGACTAACATGAAGGGCATTGGTGGGGTGGGGTGGGGTGGGGCGGGGGTGGGGTCACAAAATTTACGTGGACATCGCACAATAGACGAGAGTCAAAACCTCAAGAGCGGGGCGTTGTTGTTGAGTGTTTTTCGCGCCCGCCACTGAACTGCTGCTGCTTTTTCCGATGTTCCGAACTGAGAAAAAAACAAGAAACCATAATTGCAGAAGCAAGGAAAACCAAACAAGGCATTCCATTATTTTTAAACTGAGTTAAATAAAGTAAATAAATTTTAAAGATATAAGTAGCATTCCATTATTTTTAAGCTAGCCAAAATTCAAATGTTGCATTTTTTTATGGAGTGCAGAAGCATCTACAAATTACATTTCAACCCTCTTTTTATTCAAAACCGAACTGAAAGAAGAAATACTCCTAGAAGTGATTCAAACATCCCAATTCCAAACAATTTTATTCCTTTGCCAGGAAATCTAAATTTATTCCCACATTATTTCCAAAATGAATAATCCCTAAAACCGCTGTCATCCCGATGAGCAAAGATTTGTGTGATCACATTCACTAGCCAATGCAAACGCCCCACGGTTCTTTTAACACCCATTTTGGCTGTCATTTTAAGGCTTCAGGGTGCTATGGTGTTTTGTTGGGCTCCAAAGTGGCTACTATCCCTAAAAACCCTAACCCTTGTTTTGTTGGGGTAAGGAGTGGGCTGGAGGTCTTTGTGGAGGAATAATAGGGAACTGTAGGGTCCTCCAATGGCCGGTTTATAAATATGACACTCAGGGTGGGTGTCAAATGGTCCCCTCCCGTGCAAAAGAGAATAGAGAGAGAAGAAATGCGCGAAGCTGCTTACCTTTACTTCCATGGAGTAGTAGTCTCTCCACAAGCTAATGTCTTGGCCATATGTTGTCAGCGCAGAATCATAAAGTGAGCGAGCAATTGCAAGAGCATCCTTATCACCCAAAGACACAAGGCTCATTTCCAACTGAATGCAATTCTTATATATCGAAAGCCCGGGATGTGGTAATGTCATAAATCTGCACTCATTTAGATAGAAAACTTATTGTCTCAGTTTTCTAAAATCAGGATCGAGAAACAGAGGATCTAGTATCATGTAGGACTTGTTTGGTTAAGGTGAAATTAAGAGAAAGAGAGAGTATGCGAGTCAAGGAAATATTAGAAAATGCACTCGTTCTCAATTTCTTACAATGTATATGACCTTAAATATGAACGCTTGGAGATCTAAGATTAGTGTACTTGGATATACCAATGGGCCCTAATATGTAGTTTATGTTGGGGTGTTTTTGCCTTCAACGGCAGTTTGTGCTTTCTGTGTTTTGGCTCTAGTTGCTATTGTCGGTATGTGTGTTTCTTGAGTCTGTGCTCTTACTTTGTTTGTGTTAATGTGTATACTTTGTGCTTCTGTAGTTCTGTATCTGAATCATTGGTATTTTGGAGCATTTTTATTATTTACGTTTCTGCTATACTGTGTTCTCTTCCATATTTTTGTGCAGGTGGAGCCGGGGGTCTCTTGGAAACAGCCTCCCTACTTCCGAGTAGGGGCAAGGTCTGCGTACACACACCCTCCCCAGACCCTACTGTTGTGGGATTCAACTGGGTTGTTGTTGTTGTTTATTATTTACGTTTCTTTGTATTTTAATTCTTAAATATTACCTCCGTCCCACTGTCTTTG